CATACAAAAAAATTATTAAAATTTTTGCTAAAAGAAAGGAATTTGGAAAGATAGTTGTGAGATTTGTAAAAAAGTAGTTGTAAGGACAATATTTCTGTAAGAATAGTTAGTTAATAAAAAGTGAAAGTAAGGTTATGTTAAAACCAACATGACTGAACTACCTAGTTGTTGTATATCATTAAAATCTTTGGGAAATGGAGGAAAAGGAACAATTTTTACATTTAAAGACAATGTTAGCATAAACCTACAATTTATGATAAAAAATGTTCATGTAATATGGATTTCTAGAACATTCCCAGAAAAGTCATTGATAGTCATTTGTTTGGCATAAATATATTTAAGTACTGCCAGAAATGCCCAGTTAGTCGAGTTTCGGTCATATAAAGACAAATGTCATTCTAAAACAAAACAAAAAAAGTTGATATGATTCCTTTATAGAAACAAACAAAATAGTGAGGTTATAACCAATACCGCGAACTGAACTCAAAGCAGGTGAAAAACGTTCAAATGAATCAAAAGAATTAGCAAGAAAAAGCCTGAAGCTTATCTCCCAGTCAGTTTCCAAGTTTCAAGACAAATTACTCAAGTAAGGTAATTCACGTTAGATCTAAGTATACAAAAATTTGGTCATTGCCTAACAAATACTGAAATACCAGTCAAGATACAGAGTGGTTCAAGGAAGAGTGGAAGAAAACACAAACTAGAGACTAGTAACAGTGACATGATTAAGAATTAATATTTGTAAATTAGTATACGTAGTTTTAGCTAGAAGTTAGGGTAAATAGGTGTTTGATTTGATGATGTTTAACAAAATTTTCCAAATTGTTCCCTTAAAATAAAATTATAAATATAAAAAAATTGTTTTGCAATTTATAAAAAGTAATAATAATAGCATCAGAAATAAAATTATAAATATAAAAAAATAATAACAACTAGTGAAAATTAAATTCAACGATAGCATATAATTCTTGTGTGCGGGAGAATTCGCTGCTGAGCAAGAGTCTAAGAGAATAAGCAAATACAAAGCAAACAAATATATCTCATGTATTAACATTCAAAATAAAAACATGTTAAAAGTTTGTAATGATACCCACGTGCAGCAAATAAGCCATCAGAGCGAAATGCGAATAAATGGAAAGTAGACCCAAATTAAAGCCTTGGGGTACTCCAAAAGTAGTAAGATACTGGCTAAACATAATCCCATTATAATTGACAGATTGTAAGCTATTCGATAAGTATAAGTTAAAAAGTTTTAGTAAATTACCATATACTTTAAGTTTTTGTAGAAGTATGTTGCGATATAGATGGTATTACCAGTATTTCTCTAGATGAGAAACAAAATTGTTACAAAGAATTTATAGAAAATTTGAAATTACGTTTAAGTGTCGATGAGATAATGTTTGAGTAAATTCTTAATTTCATTCCCAGTATTTATTATTAAAAATAAAATTTGACCTGAATTTTTCTATTTCGTTTTTAATTGCACATAACTTTTTAACATAATTTTTTTTTGTTTTTTGAAAATAAATCACTCTTCGTTATTTCACATTTTCCTATTCTCTGAACACCCAGTACATCAAAAAGAAATCTCGATGAAAGAAAACTCAATGGAGAATCAAACATAAGAATTAAATTTATTAATGGGTGTCCTAAGATTGTTCATTTAAACTAGTAAATTCACCCAATTATATCGAACTCTCTGAATTGTCCTGTTACTATCAGAATGTGCGAGGTTTGAACACTAAAATCATAGACTTTTACAATTCGGTATCGACGTGCGAATTTGACCTTATTGCTATAACTGAATCCTGGTTATCTGAAGATGTAAGTGATTCTGAAATATTTCCAAGCTCCTATACTGTGTTTAGAAGTGATCGAAACTTTGCAGATACGGGTTTGACTAAGGGCGGTGGAGTGTTATTGGCTGTGAACAGTAAATTTAGGGCAACTGCTGTTAATATTGATGTAATTAACTCATCATTTCCGCATATTGACCTCATAGCATGTAAGATTGTAACTAATGAAATTTTGTATGTTATTGTGTTATATATTCCCCCTTCAGTTGCTTTAGATCAATTCGAGGCTTTTGTAGATGCTATCGAGTCTTTACACTATATTTTTGCGCAATGTAAGGTGTTAATACTTGGTGATTTCAATGTTCCTTTATTTAATTCTCATATAAGTGATACTAAAACTAATATAGTCAATAATTTCATGGCTTTTCTAAATCTCAGTCAACGGAATGATATTGTTAACAGTAATAATAGACTGCTTGATCTTGTTTTGTCAAATTTCGATTGTATCTTAAGCAAGGATGAAAGCCCTATTGTGCGCGTTGATGATCACCACCCGGCACTTAACTTTGTTGTGAAGTTGGAGTGTTCCAAACAGGCCGATTTTAATTTTGCTCACTGCTGCAAAAAGTATAATTTTAAACGTGCTAATTACCCTTTGCTATATGAAATGATTCAAAATGCAGATTGGTCTTCCCTCAGGTCATGTGCTAATGTGAATGATGCTTGTAACAGGTTTTATCAAATATTAACCAGTATCTTTGATACATGTATTCCAGTATTTAAACATTTTAAAAGAAAATATCCACCTTGGTATTCTGCAGATATAATAAGCAATTTACGTAAAAAAAGTCTAGCACATGCTAATTTTAATAAATATGGAACTTGTTACCATCTTGAGCAATTTAAGTATTTAAGATCTCTAACTAAAGCTCAAATTAAAACAGCCTATGTAGCCTATATACAGAATCTTGAAAAAAATATAGTAACTGACCCCTCTAAATTTTGGTCGTTCATTCAATCCAAGAGAAATTCATCAAGGATACCTGGTATAATGCATTATAATGACAGTACATTTGACACTCCTCAGGATGTGGTTAATGGATTTTCAACTTTTTTTTCGAATGTGTACCTGCCCTCAAATGTGGCTCCCCTGAAAGATTGTAACTCATTTGGTAGTACCTGTATAATTATTGATTCCATCTCTGAAGATGATATCATCAAAGCTTCCAAAAAATTGAAAAATAAAATGACATCTGGAGTTGATAATGTTCCAAGTTTTATAGTCAAAGATTGCATTTCCGCATTGGCTACACCACTATGCTTAATATTTAACCTTATATTGAAGAATTGTGAGTATCCTGACTTGTGGAAGTTGACTAGGATTTGTCCCATATTAAAGTCCGGTGACCCGTCACAAACTAGTAATTATAGACCTATTGCTATTCTATGCAATTTTGGAAAACTATTGGAAACGATCATTTATGACAATGTTTACAGTTCAATAAAACGAGTAATATCCCCCTTCCAGCACGGGTTTGTGGAAAATAGATCAACTGTGACAAATTTAACATGCATCACTCAGTATATATCTAGCATTCTTGACAGACGGGGGCAAGTTGATGTTATTTATACCGATATACAAAAAGCATTCGATCGTGTTGATCATTTCCTTTTATTGGCTAAATTAGATAATATAGGGTTTTCATCTAATCTATTGACCCTGATGAGGTCTTACTTGGTGAGTAGGCGGCAATTTGTGGAATATGGCGGATACAAGTCTAACGAATATTTGGCCACATCGGGTGTCCCGCAGGGGTCAAATCTTGGTCCACTTTTATTTTTAATATTTATCAACGATTTGTCTTTATTGTTAAACTCGCGCCACTTACTCTTTGCTGATGATTTGAAAGTTTATATGGAAATAAGTAACTTAAATGACTGCATTAGCTTACAAAATGTTTTGAATACTGTCAGTCAGTGGTGCAGTGAAAATTTTTTGAGTCTCAATATATCTAAGTGTAAACTACTTTCATTTCATATGAAACATAATCCGATAGTATACAATTATTCTCTAAATGGTAGCACTTTGGAAAGAACTGATAGGTTCAGAGATTTAGGCGTGATTTTTGACCCAAGATTAAATTTTTCTGAACATATTGCACAGGTTGTCGCATCAGCATCCAAAACATTAGGTTATTTTATTAGAAATTGGAATTGTTTCACTGATGTAAGTACTTTAAAAACATTGTATGCCTCATTTATAAGAAGTAAATTGGAATATTGTGCTCTCATATGGTCGCCATTTTATCAGAATGCAGCTTGCCGTATTGAGTCGGTGCAACGCAAGTGTCTGAAATATATGTTTTTTAAATGTAATGGTTATTATCCCGAGAGAGGTTTTGACTATAATCTTTTTCTTACTACATTTAGCATAGACTCACTGCATACAAGACGCAATTTTGCTGCTCTAAAATTTTTGTATAAACTACTGCATGATGAAATTGATTGTCCACAATTAGTAGAGCAGATTTTGTATCTTATTCCAAGGCAAGAATCTCGTCAACAGCGTATGTTCCATATTGGCCTATGTAGGAGCAATGTATTACTTAGATCACCGATTTTCAATATGTCCAATTTATTTAACCAGATTTGTTCTTTATGCGATATTCATCGTGATAGTATTGGACATATTTTGTCAATTTATAAGGAATCTGTTGCCTTGTCTGGGTAATACCATTGTGTTAGTTTTACTTATGTTTGTATATATTTCTATTTTCTTATAGCGTTATATCGCACACTAATTTAGTGCATATGTTCGTGCATATTTGTTTGTATTTTTATGTATTTTAAATTTTCTGTAATTGGGTGTTTAACCTGTTGAAAATAAACGTATTATTATTATTATTATTATAATTATTATTATTATTATTAAAAAGTTAAATTTATGTATTTTCAAGCAAAAAATTTTTATGAAGAGTAACTCGTCAAAAAAAAATCAAAAATAAAAAAGTTACGATTTAAGCAGCTTACAGCGTATGTAGGACACGCGACTTTATACAACTACATCGCTTTGGAAATCTGTAAAAATTATTTCTTGTAGTCAATCTCCCCTACTGTCGCAATCCTCCCCGCTTCACCCTACGTAGCAAATGAATGAGTAGCGTTAGGTGTGACTAGTGTAGCTCCAATGAACCAGGTTGTTAGTTACAGAGTGGTGGCGGTGGTGGCTGGAAACTCGGACGCTGTGACGTTGAGCGGCCTCAAGGCCGACACCCAGTACCAGGTGACCGTTGCTGCCGTCTGGGCCGGCAAGAAGTACAGGAGCAGGCCCATTGTCTTCCGCACCCTGGGTAAGATGCATGTATAGCTGTTGTTGTGGAAATTGCCAATGTTTCTTTTGTATAACCACAACTAATGACACTCTGCTTACCTTACATCTTTATATACAGAAACAGTGGCAAATTTCAAATCAGATGGTCAAATTTGAACATTTCTGAACTGAAGGTTCTTTTTGAAAAATATGCCTTTATCCAGAACTTTGAAAATATTTTTTTTGTGGATGTTTTAAATTATGTAAGAAACCTAATCCTCAAGCTGTAACCTATGTTGTTATCTTGTTACATTCATACACAAGTACAGGCATTCTGGCAATAGAATGGTCCAAAATGAACATAAACTGACGGTAAGAATATTCCGTGATAAAAAGGTGTGGATCGTGTTGGTGAATCAGATTATGGTTCGTGCCGCAAAAAAACAGTCAGCGTTAATTTTTATAAGCAAAAAACAGGTGAAAAAACAGGTTTTATTAATTTTTAATATAGAACTTCTGCATTTAAAACAATGTAATTTCTACAAGATATCAGCGCTAAAAAGCCCTTTAATTTGAATGGTCGCACGTCAAAATCGAATAAATAGTTATTGAGTTATTGCAAAAAAACCACTAAAATAAGCCATTTGTTAATTATTTAATAGCTTTAACAATTTGCAAAATATCAATGTCTACCATTGTGTAAACTAAGCGTTTCGAAGGGATACAATTACGGTTCAAATTTGGAAGAAAAATATTGAATACTTTTTATGTAATAGCAATTGTTATTAAAAATGGGACTTTTTTAAAAAAATAATTTCTATCGATTGGGGGTGTCGCGCAGCATTCAGCAAGGGCTCGTTCTTTTCGTGAGGTGTTCTAGTTTCATGCAGACCCGTTTACCTGATCATTTTTTCAATTTAAATTGTTTAAATATCGCTCCAAACTAATTGCTATAAATGGCTTAATTAATAAATGGAATAGCTCCCGTTGTAAACGCGATCGTTATTGTTTGGCAATATTTTCTTAAAGCTTGAATTTTTTGACGAATTTACAAAAAAAAAAGAACTTGCTAAGTGCCCTGGGAGCAGAGATAGGATTTAAAAAAAAAAATAAAATAAAAAATTTACCCCCATTTAAGTACAACCATTATTTTTTTATCTATTAGCAGTAGTAAATAATTAATTTGGATCAAAATTAAATTATTGTAAAATAATAATCATGGCAAATATAAGTCGATTATGCAGTAATAGTGGCTACTTTTAAAAATTAAAGAGAACGTTTGAAAATGTTGCAAAATACCCACCGATAATGGAAAGCGTATAAATTGCAGTAGTAAATAATGGTCTTTGCTTTAAATCGTGAAGGTAAAAGTTAATAATTCGACGAGCTACCCCAAATTAAAAAAAAAATGATGAAATTCTAAGCAGTAGTTGCGGAGAAAATGGAAAAAATTTCACTTGGTTTGGATTTGAAGATCCCCCCACCACCGAGCCGCGAGCTCCGGTCCATAGCCGCAATTTCATCTCGCGTTTGGCGGTGGATTCAGGGATGTTGTTTTAATGCTAGTACCATCACGATTTTTTTTAAGAAACTTCAATTCTCCCTTTAAACATTGCTGAAAACGGCACCACAAAAAGTTAATAATTAAAGGCGTGAGATTTTAAAAAAAATCCTATCTCTGCTCCCAGGGCACTTAGCAAGTTCATTTTTTTTTGTAAATTCGTCAAAAAATTCAAGCTTTAAGAAAATATTGCCAAACAATAACGATCGCGTTTACAACGGGAGCTATTCCATTTATTAATTAAGCCATTTATAGCAATTAGTTTGGAGCGATATTTAAACAATTTAAATTGAAAAAATGATCAGGTAAACGGGTCTGCATGAAACTAGAACACTTCACGAAAAGAACGAGCCCTTGCTGAATGCTGCGCGACACCCCCAATCGATAGAAATTATTTTAAAAAAAAAGTCCCATTTTTAATAACAATTGCTATTACATAAAAAGTTTTCAATATTTTTCTTCCAAATTTGAACCGTAATTTTATCCCTTCGAAACGCTTAGTTTACACAATGGTAGAAATTGATATTTTGCAAATTGTTAAAGCTATTAAATAATTAACAAATGGCTTATTTTAGTGTTTTTTTTTCAATAACTCAATAACTATTTATTCGATTTTGACGTGCGACCATTCAAATTAAAGGGCTTTTTAGCGCCGACATCTTGTAGAAATTACATTGTTTTAAATGCAGAAGTTCTATATTAAAAATTAATAAAACCTGTTTTTTCACCGGTTTTTTGCTTATAAAAAATTAACGCTGACTTTTTTTTTGCGGCACGAACCATAATCTGATTCACCAACACGATCCACATTTTTTTATAATGGAATATTCTTACCGTCAGTTTTTGAGGGTGATCCTACTGTAATGCCTGTACTACACAGTGCGTTGTGAGTTACATAAGTTTTTAATGTTGGATACTGAGAACATGGTGCTTTTTACGTCTATTTTCTAACTTCAGGAGGTAATTCTTTTCATAATTTTAGACTAATAAGTCCGTCCCATTAGTCTAAAATCATTGGTGGTTCTAAAACCGCTGGTTTTCGAAATACAGGCTGTTGAAGTATACATAAAAAAAGAACAACCTTGTGACGTTATGAATTATAAAGGGTGTTCCGAAATTAATGTGACACAGAGTAGGGGTAGATTCCTTACATCAAAATAGTGCGATATAGCTAAACTTATCTTAGTTTATTTGTTGATAATAAAAAAGTTACAGGTGTCAAAGTTAAAATTTTTAATTCAACATTCTTAAAATTAGTATAGTTTTCAAATAATTGCTTTGAAACTTTGGATTCAGAGGTTTTCTGGATCCAGGAAAACGAATCAAGACTTAACTGTAAACATTTTATTTTAAAACACCTACAGAAATCCAATGGATTTAAATCTGGGCTTCATGCGGGCCATGGAAGCGTGCTGCCACGACTTATCCACCGTTTGGGAAATCGTGCGTTGATAGTTTGCACATGTACAAAAAAATGGACAAGAGCACAGTCTTGCATGAAGATAATACTCTGTCTCACATTTAATGGTAAATCATCAGGAAGTTCTAGAAAATCATGTAAGAAATGTAAAGATAAACGGCCATTTAGATTATATGGCAATTCAACAGAACCCAACACATTATTTCCAACAATATCACACCAAATGTTTATTTTAAATTCATGTTGAAAATGACGATCAATTAATGTATACGGGTTTTCTTTGTCTCAAACATGTTTATTTCTTACTATGGTAGTTTTAAGTATATAACTATAAAACTTTTATTTTGAAAATTAAATTGCATCCAATGGTAAAACAGTAAATAAATCGAAAACGGTTAAATTTATCGACATAAAACAAATGTATCTTATTTGTGTAAATTAGATAAGAAAATTAATATTATATCTGACTGATCCATTAAAACAGCATATTGCGACGTACTACTAGCACCTGGAGTTGAAGTATCATTGTAAAGAATCCTGTTGGCTATTTCATTTTTATTACTTAAACTGTCAGCAAGATAACTTTCTGCAGTTGTGGCTGATTTCCACCCACCATGTATCTTGATTGCTAATACATCAACTCCTGTATTAGCCAGTAACGTTGCCGATGTTCTTCCGAATAAATGGCCTGTATATGTTTCAGGATGTTCTAGTTTCAAAAACTGTACAATCTTATTAGAAATCATAGAAAGAGTATTCTTGCCGACTGGTTGCTTGTAACATCTACCTGCTTGATAGCGCATAAAAAAACGTGAAAGACCCCGCACAAAATGAATGGAAATTGGGTCCCTCTAGATTTGGCTGAAATTGTGGTATGTTACAGTTCTCGACATTCTGATTAAAAGTTTTCATAGGCCCAAAGTGATCCTATGGATAGTTTCAGAGATATATAGAAGGGAAAGTGTGTGATATTGACTATGGGCCTAAGTAACCGTCGATTTTCGGACTCTTGAAGTAATGTGTGCAGATGTATGTATGTATGTATGTATGTATGTAGATGTACTGTCAATCAATGATTCAACCTAAAAATGACGGTCTATAGACTTCGATAGCATTAGATCGAGATAAATGAACCCCATTCATACAAGTCGTGTCAAGGGCCCAACAAGCATATGTGTTGAAAAAGTTCTCCTTTATGGTGTAAATAACTATTTCTATTAAATCTTTCGTACACACACTGAGAAAAAAATGATTAATTTTTATCAACCTAGAATACTTTTTGTAGCGACCTCAAGCGTCTACATTCCAGATTCGTTTTCCTGGACTCCCAAATACAAATTTTCAAAGTAATTATTTGAAAACGTTCTAAAAATTTTAAGAATTTTAGATTCAAAATTTTAACTTTGACACCCAAACTTTTTTATTATTCATAAATGAACTAAGATAAGTTTAGTTTTATCGCACTATTTTGAGGTAAGGAATCTACCCTTGCTCTGTGTCCGATTAATTTCGGGGCACCCTGTACATAAACAACACCCTGTATATTTCGCCTCACTAATTTGCGCCTTATACATAACTGCAAATTGACCGCAATCACGTCTCAAATAGGCGGTGAATATTTAACACAAGGCTGGTCTCTAACTGGGACACAGGATAATCAACTTCTCCAACTCCGCAACTTTCTTGTTTGTCCAATCAATTGGTTCTTCGCGTATATATTACGTCTTCAGATACGATTCACCAAACGTTATTTTCACTGTTACTTGAAAAATTTATGTGAAACGTTTTAGTGTAGAAAATATTGTTTTTATCTCACTTTATCTTCAGAAATTAATTCTGTCAGTAGCTCAGAAAAATAATCATATTACGGTTCAAGTAATAATACGTTGCCCCTATAAACAGTCCTTGATTTCTAGATGAATTCTTAATAAATATAAAGTTTGTTAGAGTTTCACTGCCATTACTTGATTGTACGATACCTAAATGAACAAAACAGTTGTATGTTACATTGGCATAACATTAACAGCTGTTAAAATGTATCAAGTAATAATAATAAATA